AAACTGCGGGGAACTCTGCAAAAAACGCATGTTCGCACGGGCAGCCCGTGCGTTGGCCAATTTTTTCTTTTTTTTTTATTGAAACTAGCATTACTTTGTGAAATTATCATTGTTATTGAAAATTACTTTGCTTTTTTTTTTCTCCTGCTCTGTTTTCTACCTTGGTTTGTCCTCGTATCTTCAAGTCTTAAAGATAGGTACTTTATCGTGGTGTTGGAGTGATAACTTTCGAGATAAAACAGTGATGCTCCAAGTCAACGCATCATGAAGCAGCTGAGATAGAGATATTAATATTCTGGCTGATTTTTTTTTTTTTTTTTTTTTTAAAGACAACAATACCACTGACACTACGCTGCCATCAGCTTGCTTCTAAGCAACTCTTACAAAATGAACCCATTGAACCTTTCTAGTGAGCACTGATGTTGGCTTATGCTTCTCGAGAGAGCGAATTGTTCAGTTTTTTCGTGTGTGTGTGTGTGTGTGTATGTGTGTGTTGTGTGTGTATGTGTGTTGTGTGTGTGTGTGTGTGTGTATTGAATAGTTGCAAAGAAAAACTGTTCTAGGCTTATTCGGAATACATGGCAATGTTACATGAGCTGAACGATTCGGTGAAAGGTGTTCTGTCAACGGAAGACATTCCGATTAGTCCGAAAGTTATGGAAGTGATTGATATGCTTGATGAAATACAGGTTATTTTTCGTTTTTATTAATGCGCGAAATTTTTAATTTGAAAATCCTTCGAGTGGCTATTCGGGATTGTAGTCTTGGGTTTTTCTCGAGATCAATATCCTCAATTCCTTTCCGCAGTCCACTTTGGTTGGTCATTCGTTGTTTTATCGTTGCGCTTCTTCATGTCTTCGGTGCAGCTTCTTACCTGTATTAGGCTCTGCTCCGGATAATTTTTTGAATGAAAAATCTCGGTTGACCTGTCTCCAGTGTTTGCTTGGCTTTGCTTTTATATCATTCACAATCTCACTTTGTCTGTTATCTCACATCTTCCACCACACATAGTCAACAGGCCAGTGTATGTTCCGATAATTTACTGGCCCATATCACATTTATCTAAAATTTGCAAAATCTCATTTTCATCATTTTGGGCACTGCAAGTTGTTTGAAAATTCACTGAAACATTAATTTTTGCTTTCGATTTTTAACTATGATGGTTATTTATGAATGGTACATTGACAGTGTCTGATTGTTTTTTGCAGCATCAGTTTTAAGTCGACACAGATTCGGTGTTTTTGTCATTTTTGTTACAAATAATTTGTTATCGTTTCCAGAAGTGGACGCTGGAGTTTCCACCGGAAGAAATGGGAGCCCAGCGTTTTGGAAATGTCGCGTTTCGAAAGTGGTATGAGCGCCTCTCATCGGTACATCCCCTCAGATATTCATCATTATTTTTCTAAATTATTTGGTGCGGTGAGTGATTTTGCTATAATTTTCAGGATGCCGAGGACATTGTGTATGGCCTTTTGCCCGCTGACAAAAAGAGTGCTGTTATCGAACTGCTTCCATATTTTTTGGATTCATTCGGTAACGCGATGCGAATTGATTACGGATCAGGTGGGGATTAGATGCATCAGTCCTCTTTTTTCTCCTTTTATTTGGGAATAACAGGTGGAAGGGGAGGAGCAAAGGGGAGGGGGATAGATAGAGGCAGTGCTGCTTTTGACGAATACAAACTGAGGAGGAAAGCAGTGATGATTTTGCTTAATCGTAATTATTTTTCTAACTACGATTGGTACTTTCAATACGGAATCGCATCGCGGGGAACGTTTCTCATTCACACGGTCATCTCATTCCAGTAAACCGATGCCTTGATTTCAAAAAATTCTGAAAGGGTGGGCTGAGGGTTATTTGGGGCCACCAGAATCGTAGTATTTAGACCTTTAGTTTTCTGTGTGTTTAAAGGATCGAATTTTTCAATGCTTAAATATTCTGTTTGGGCTGTCAGCAATATGTTTTGCAGGACACGAGGCGTCTTTTCTGATCTTTTTGTTCTGTTTGCGAAAATTGGGCATGTTTGCGCCATCCGACAATCGTGCACTTGTGCTTCGAATCTTTTTAAAGTAAGTTTTTCCTCTTGCTGGGTAATACAGTCCAGACTTGGTGTGTGTCTGATATACTGAATTTTTGGCTGTATGGCATACTTACTAAAGCCTTCTCCCATCACCCCCTTTTTTCTCTACATTTTCGTATATCCATACAGTATTTGCTGTAATTTCGAAGCAGTGAATTCAGCTGCAATTCATAGTCTGCTTCTCCAGCTGGCAAGTTTTCCAGTTGCTTTGACAAATGCTGCACTCCCAGGTTATCAGCAATTCTAGTATTTCTGGCATTCGTTTAGCCTTCTGGAGGAATTACCAGCCGAACGATCTTTCGACAAAAGCAATTGGCAGGGTTTTTCCATATGTTCTTGACGTGTATTGAGCATCATCTCGTCGAGGGCGTTGCTGCGCATAAACCACGATGGGATACTTTGCTGACTGGTGTAATCATATGCGTAAATTATCGCATCTTTTATTGATTCATGTACTTGTTTAGGTATTTACGACTGGTACGATGTCTCCAGACTACTTATCGAATGGAACCAGCTGGAAGCCGTGGTGTCCACGCGCTAGACGACTTTCAGTTTATGCCATTTTTGTGGGGCAGCTCCCAACTCGTTGGTAAACGTCTGCTGCATGCTCGAGTTTTAATTGCCAAAAATCAGTTTTTCTTTCAGTTCTGGCTTACGTTTTCCCGTTCCATTTCTATCACAGTTACGCCGATCCACCTTCTAGAAAATGAGAATCATAGATTCTGCAAAATTGGATATTTGTTAACCGAACTGATATTAATGAATCGTTTTATTTATCCAAACTTTTGTAAAATTTTTCAAGATAAAATTTCATTTCGGTTCAATCCATGAACAAAAGATTCCTTTCCCGTAGCTTGCTGTGCCCTTTCTGTCTGTTTTTTGTTAACTGAAATATTCTTGCCACTGTTAATGCTGCACATTTTAAAAATATCTTATAGGGAGCAAAAGATTGGTGCCAGAATCTTATTTGAAGGCAGAAACTGTCGAAATTCATGCTCCGAAAAATTTGTTCTTTGATGCTGTGCAATATATCAACGAGGCAAGCTTTTGAAAAGCCACTTTTATTTTTTATTTGTCCTTTTATGTGTGTATATGTGTGTGTGTGTGTTTTTATTTGCCTGTCTGTGTGTATTTTTCTTTTTTCTGGACAGCAATCCACTCTTTTCAGTTAGCTGAAACGAAAAGATTTTTGAAGTTGTAAACAAAGAATTTTTATTTTAGACAAAAACAGGTCCATTTCACGAGCACTCAAATCAGCTGTGGAATATCAGTGCGGTACAAAGTTGGGAGAAAGTCAATTCCGGCATGTTCAAGATGTATGAGGCTGAGGTATCACCTCGCTGATTCATTTCGCCCTGAGGCTCCCCAGTCTCGCTGGCAAAGCCCGTTTTCTAAAATGATTGTGGATGTATGTTTTTTGTATATTTTTGTCTGCTTTTAGGTATTAAAGAAGTTCCCAACGGTGCAGCATTTTCATTTTGGATCGCTCTTTTCGATAGAGCCTGCAAAAGAAGTGGACGATCCAAATTTACAGAAAACAGATACCACTGATGCCCCATCGGATACGACATCCGGGCATGTTAGCGAAAATCCTCTTATTGATCAGTTCATGACACGTGCTGTGCACCCGTAATTGACTATCATTTTTTTCATATGTGTAGTGAAATGTGAAATAATTTTGAATTTTTCTTTTGTTCTAATGTGATGCGTTTTTAGCTTACTAATGGATGACTTTCATCATGGAAATTCATCTAGTTTTGTTTTTATTTGATAATGCTACCTGTAAGTTTTGTAGGAAAGAAATGGTGGGGAGATGAGGAGTACTAAAATTATTCTAGTCAGCTGTAGTCAATGAAGCGTTCATAAGTTAATTTGTCACTATAATTTTGATAAAACGTAGAATCCGTCCATGGTCTCCATTTTTTTGGGCCTTCGAATCAGTGTTGTGTTTTAAATTATTGTGTTGTTTCAAACAAAATTTCCTGTTAAATCCAGTAGTGTTGCTGTTGATTCATTACTGTTACGGCAAGGAATTGCTAAAATTTATGGGTTTTTGAGGTTGGGAATGCTACTTGCTTTCCTTTTAAATTCCAAAAAGAAGACAGTACACCACGACAATAGGTCATTTTTGGGGAAATTCTGCGAGATTCCTGGGCGGTGGATTTGTTCTGAGGATTGGTGCAAACAGTTATTAAGTTTAAATACCGAAAACAACAGCCCATTACACCACGCTAGTGCGATTACTTCCGCGAGGAAATTTCACAGCGTTTCTAGAGACCAAACGATACTGGTACTGAGTAATAATGTCTTGAGTAATAATGTTTTTGCTAGACCCTTATTAAATTGTATAGCACTGGTGTTTAGTACAAAAAACGCTGGGATAAAACGTTATGGAGGAAATATTGTATATTTTCATGTACAAACATTTTATACAATACAATTCAGCAAGTACAATCAAACAAAAAGTATAGAGCAGTCGAGGAGGCAACATGCTTACGTAGTAGAGACGACACGTACCAACTGGTGGCACACTTTTTAGCATTCGGAGCCTAGTACGGTTCATCCTGGCATACCTCTGGACATTAGCGAAGTGGAAGTACCACACGGACAATTGATGACATCGAACAAAACTGTACAGTTACGGGTCGGATGTGGTTCATGCCAAGCTTTTCCGTTCTGGGATTTCGCATAAAGCATGCGCCCGAAAGTTGGTGAAAGTGGTGGAAAGTTATATTGTGATTTCTGGATGTTTTGGGGGCTCTAATACGATCGTGGGGGGTCGGGCAAATACTTCGATTTGAAGAATTCTTCACATATTTCAATTCTAACAGCGTGTTTTTCTTGATTTCAAACATCGTTACATCATAAGTCAGGGGATGAGTAGACAAACACACAAGAATTTTCAAAAAAAAAGTAACTGATTTTGAAATATCATCTCGCACAACAGTTCATCACGGTCTCAACATCCGAGATCCAAGGAAAAAATAGTGTTGAATTTTGAGAACCGCATCAGCTGCGACCATATACCTCTTCGTGGAAGCTGACGACTGTATTCTTTTCTCCGTCCATAACATTCTATTTCACGAACATTGTTGCTGACTGGTAGATCGACTTAATCAATAGTTCTCTTGTATTTGTTGAAAAAAATCCAAGAATCTGCACAAAACCGAAAATCCGAGGAGAAATGGTATTTCGACAGAAAAAATTTCTGGAAAGGGCTTGACAAAGGTACATTTTGCACGGTCTGTCACATTGTAAACGATCCAAGGCTCCAGTTTGGGTTCAAAAATGCATGATCGCCACAAAACGATGTGACTTTTTATTTCGCTCTTAAAAAAATCCCTGTATTCATGTTACCACAATTTAGCCTAAAGTTTTGGCCGAATTACCAGAAACACCAAAACCGGACATTCAGTGTGGGGATCCCATGTTAGTGATGTTACTAAAAATGTGCTCGGTGCTTTTACTTTTATGACACAGTTGCTCGTGGCGCTTTTGGCTGAATTAAATGCCAAAAAATTCGCGTCCTTCTGAATGAATTTCCCAAATTCCTGATTTAATCTTGAATATTTAGCAGCTATCTGTTTTCTGTTGATCACCGTAGAAGTATTCTGAGCAGGATATCTTATTTGGTTTTGTTACGAATGCATTTTCATTTTAAGTCCTTATCCCACATCGGCTGTGACCGGATGGTTTTGGTAGTTCTGAATGCATTAACGCGCTGATCCATGGAGAAGTTTTGCGGTGCAGCTGTTGCAAACATTAACACAGTGTCCAAAAGTAACACTTAAACTGTTGTCAGTTTATTTGCTTTCTTTCTTCCTTCCATACATCGCTTCTTCCACGGGCTGCTCCAGAACAATAATGTTGTGTGGCGGCGTAGGAGCTCCACCTTTCAGGTACGGCGATGTCCGGGAACGGAAGATCTGAAATTCTCTTTCTGAATTTTAAACGAGTCATTCGTTATCAATCATCCGCTTACATAGAAAGTAAAAAAATTTTTTTGCATCGTACTGTATTTCGTTTTAGTTAGTATTTTACTGTTTTTTTTAATGCCTGCTTTATGTATTTTGGTCATATAGATAGATTACAACAGAATGTAATGGAAAATGAATTTTAAAGTAAAAGGCAAATCTTAAGTAAACTTAGTAGCTCGCAATTTTAGCAAAATGAAAATGAACGCACGCGCATGATGGTAACGGAGATCCATAGGATAAGCGCATGAAGTGCAATGACGATTAATACGTGTCCAAGAACTTTGATCAAAAATGAATCTGGAAATTCCAAATTTTTCATTAATCTGTAACCAGAAAACTAAACATATGCAAATACAAATGCTCCGTTTGCCACTGCAGTCTGTTCAGCGAACTTAAAGACGCGTTTTTTTTATCGTCCAGAAGCGCATTTTCTCTTAAACTTAGTTCTTTCACCAGTGAGACAACCAATCCGGTCGTTCATTTCAGTGGTAAACTGGTACAAGTATTTAGCAAAAAAAAATGCGCCAAAACCCTGCCAAAACTGCTCTGGATCCCTCAAAAAGCATTCTATACGATAAGGTTGCTTTTGAAAAAAATCGAGGAAGCATGATGGCTCGGAGATTTCAAAAACTCTGCCAGTAATAAACAAGAATTTTAGATTCAGAGCTCTAAATTAATACATCCCTGTATTTTACTTTTTAAAAAAGACATGAACTTGTGGCTCAGAGCCGTTTTCACTTAAGCAGCTGCGCCAGGCCTTTCTTTTTTTTCAATCTGTTTCCTTTAATTAGCTATGAAGTGATTGAGGTTTATGTTAAATATCTAAAGTTCAAAGGAATTCGCGTATGTTAATCAAGCCTGTATCACAAAAATGATCAAAGAGAGGCTTCAGACCAGGAGCTGAAACATTAAAAAAGGCATAACACACATTGTTTTGCTCATAACAAACTACCAAGAATAACAAGACCGGGTAAGGCTGTTAGTATGGGCATCTCAAGTTGGAGATGTTACTCCTTATACACCGAGCGCAGCTATGCTAGGTCCTTCGATCCTGAACCGCATACTTATAGTTATTAGAAATAAATTATTCTGTAAAATAAACTCTTGCCAAAAAAAGACTCGCAAATAAACCTGTGCAAAGACAGCAAAAATTCGTCCAGTGAAATGCGTGAAAAGACTCACTTGTATTTCGCTCTCCATATGTATTTCCAAGACCATACGACGGGACACCAGGTACAACTATACTCTCGGCCGTCAGATCGCCACCAACACCATTGATTTTATTCTGGGTGTAGCGAAACAGGTAGTACAAGCCGTATCCTGACCATATGGTTAATTTCAGAGCCTGAAAAGGGAATACCGTGTTAATGTTGCAAAATTAATATACTCAATTACTGAGACAGGAGCAAAATTGGTGCAAGTAAATAAAGCAAAATTTTTCTACTGTTTGGCATACTTATGACCAATGGAGATTATCCAAAGCGTCGCTGAAATATATTAAATTTTAGAAAGAATTGGCATGTGCAGAGGACTATCTTAGTGAAAAAATACAACATAAAACATATTAAAAGTAAAAACCCCATCTGTGTTCACTCATTCGGAAAGCAGCCCGAGAATAGCAAATGCCAAATGCAACCACACGCTAGAAAGGCTGTTGTTGGTTCAGTCTTTCGGGAGTTGCTTAGAAGCAAGCTGGTGGCAGTTTGACTCGACGGCCTACAGCAGCACCAGATTTTACCATCAAAACGAATAAACGAATCGTAGAGTAGTTGGACCTTCCGTGGCACTAGTACTCAGTGGAAAATAAAGGATGAAGATGTATAGTCCAAAAGAGGCAACCGGTGTTGCTGCGTCTGCATAGCTTCGACTATCAAAAGCTCGGATTTCCCTTTCTAAATTTGTCTAATCCTTAATAACTCATACTCAAGAGGAAAGGTTTAAGATTTCGATGCCAAAACAGCGGATCCTTTAAAAACAGCACTACCTTCACTTATTTGTTTCGAGAAATTTCAGAAGCAGAAAAGAGGAAATATGCAAAATACAAGGCATTTATAAATGCAACTCTCTTGAATCCACTGCCACACTTTCTCACAGCTAAAACGGTCGGTTTGCTTATTAATTTCTTCCGGTTACTTACGATTCTTGCGCACATCGAGACTTCATGAAGTACAGTTTTATTTGACATGTTAGTTTACCCGAAGACATGCATTTTGACTCGGTCGAAAAGTCTGTGCTCATTTTCCAGATGGCTGAGGAGAGTTTCAACCAGGAAACGGAAGCTATTCAAATCGGCAAACAAGATCATCAAACGAATTATCACCCTAGACCTGTTAGTAATTTCGGAAATGAACTGATTACTGTTTTTCAATGTGAATGGTATTTATTTCTGCAGCATTTGTGCTAACTAGCTTTCTACCCTTTAAAAATGAAATAGTTGGCCAAAGCACGGGCTGCCCATGCGAAGGTATTTTTTTTCCACAGTTCCCCGCAGATTCTTGTCGCTAAAGGCACTGGTTTTTCCGGTAGATGCTTCTAGCTAAAAGAATTCCAGATTGGACGCCAGAACTGTCAGGAAACATCCTTTTAAAATTCCAGTCTTCTAGCCTTACCCAGAAGAAACTTTCACCGGCCCGTATGTAGGTATCACGCTTACCCGCGGGCAGGGTTTGAACTTGTTAATACCCACTTGGACGGGGAAAATCCCCTGAGATTTCAGCGTTCTAGCTTCTCAGATCCCCGAGTTACGAACTTACCCCAAAAAAATTCTGGCTGGCCCATAATACCACGCTTACTCGGGAGCTGAGTTTCAGTGCATTAGCACCCACTTGGACGGGGAACGTCCCTCCAAGATTTCAGCGTTCTAGCTTCTCAGATTCCCGAGTTATAAACTTACCCGAAAAAAATTTTGGCGGGCCCGTAAGCGTGTTCCACGCGGGTAATGGCGCCCATTTTGGGAATTCCCGTCGGTACGTGCATGTAGATTAAGTTCTCCAAATTTCAGCCCTGCAGCTTTTATAGGTCTTGAGATGAAAGTGAGTGACAGACGCACACACAGACATACAAACACACGGACACACAGACAACCCCTCGTCAATATGCGTTTTTGCGTTGCGTAGCTGCAAAGGACGCATAAAAACTTTGTCAGCGCTTGGCCACTTCTAAGAATTTTGTTTCTTGTGGACAGTGAGTTACGAGGTAGTTTTTAATTTTTGACTTTTACATGTCCCAGTTAGCGAACTTGTAGGAAGTTTAGTTTTCTCATTGTCAAAATCTAATTATTGATATGAGGTTAAACAGCGGCACTACTCATCTTTATACCGGGTTTGCTAACTCAAAAAGACTGGAAAATTTAACAGTTAAAATGAGCATAAAAAATTCTTCAGAAAACAAGCAGAAATTAAGCACATTTGGGAAGAAGGTCGAAACTGGCTGGTTTTTCCACAACCGAGAAAAATCTCTTTAGAAAGGCGAACCGGTGTCGTCCTTGATCCATAACTACACTAGTACTGGTACTATAGGTGACAAGTTCATTTCTGATGATATGAAACGTGCGAACGCTAATCCTTGTTTTTAGAAATAGCCAAAACGACTGAAGTTGGGGAATGAAGTACCAAAAACTGAGAAATGAAACACAGAATAGAATAAGCAATCAACTGAAGTACAAAAGTAGTACTTTATGCGTTAGTTTTCAATGTGTATTTTAAAGATAAGGGGCAAATCGGATACTGTGCACATAACCGACGAAAACTTCAACGACAGTGACGAGGAAAAATCGGAAGCAGATGAGAGAATGAAAAAAGTAACCGATGAAATGGTAAAAAAACTGCTTCTAAGCGATAAGCACGAGCCGGAAAATAAGGGCGATGCAGTTGAAGGTGACTAATGATATTTTTTAGGCCTGATACCTGAAATTTTTATAAGCCTTATACTTTAGGATCCATTCTATAATACAAGTGAGATTTGCCGGCCCAGTGCAATGCGAATTAGCACTGTTTTCGTGCAGACGAACAATCAGTCGTTGTACGATTAGTTCATTCGTTTCGCCGGTAAATTGGTACTGCAGTATCAAAGAGTCAGACCCGCCATCAGCGTTTAAGCAACCCTCGAAAAAGTCAATGACAGTCTTGCTAGCGGATGGGTTCTACTACTACTTCGACCACTTTTCAAATGCCTTCACCTCTGACAGAAAACGAAAACGGTTAATTTTTGAAACAATTTGCTAAAGACTGTAAATTTTGTTATCTTCTTAAGCTTTTGATCCAGAAATATTTTTTTCCTGAAATGCAACTGTTATTTCAATTTTAACTGGTGAAATTTCAAAAGTTGGTCCGCCGAAAACACAGGAAGAACTCGAAGAAGAAGAAATGCTAAAAGAGATTGCTAAGAAGCCCCTGAAATCGTTCAAATATATGAAGAATGTGCCGGATGCCATTGCCAAAGTTTACTACAAAGTAATGCATTTTTCCTCGTTTTGCTGCTTTTTAATTTACAAGACAAGAGCTGGAAGATTGTTCTTGTTCAAAAAACGGGAAGTAGATTTCTGAGTAGATTCCTAAAGTAGATTTCTAAACATGCTGAAAAGAAATTCCGACACTATAATTCAGGATATCGCTCGCCGCTGGAAGGAATCTGAAGCGCGTATCAAAGAGACAGAGGATCTGCTGACCAGCGTTAAATATGAGGAACGATCACTAGAGGAAGATCGCCTGGAGATACTTGGTGAACTGCTCGATAAGGCCGCCCAGTCATTTGAAATTTTTGATGAGCATGAGGTAACTGCCATTTCCAAAAAAGAAAAGAAAAATTAATTTCGAAAAAATTAGGCAAAAAAACTGCAGCTATTCCGTCTTCTTTAAGAATTTCTGAAAAACCCCCTTGCTGCTTCACTAAAAAGACGGAGACTTCACATTTTCTGGAAATTAATAAAAATGGGATTATACAAGCCCTTATTTTTTCTATTTTTATTAATTAAATCGTTCACAGATTTCCTCCTCTTACTTTAGTAAATTCAGCGAGTACCATAAAACCACTGTAGAAGTAAGCATGAAATTAATGTTTAACTTTAACTTCATGCTCACATCTGCATTAGGATTTATGATATTGTATGGATGTTCTTGAGTTTAATGGAATTGTATAATGCAGTAGAAGTAAAATGAATTTAGAAAGCCAAGCCGATTTTTCGCTAGTAAAACTAATCAACCTAATGTATTGATAGGAATGAAAAAGGGAAGAAAAATTAGAGAAAATAAGGAAAACGAGGTAAAAATGATAGTTTTAGAAAAGGAAGAAATCCAAATTCACTAAGTTCAAAAGATTCATTAATGAGGTCTGAGCACTAGGTAAGGACAAATAAGTAAATTCGAGCCATTTTCTAACTCAGAACAAGGATTTGACATTCGCCGACACATACTAATATGTTCTACCAAAACCCCGAGGGCTCTTGAAGAAAATACACAAGTTCCTGTACTTTTATTATTCACCGAATTAATGATGTTTTAATGATAAATGCACGTGTCTAGCATCGCAAAATCCCGTATGGACATCGCATTGTCCTGGAAGTGCGCTTGCTGACGGTTTTCAATGATGCGGTTGACCTGATTTTCAAAATTATTGGAGAATTTGACAAACTCAAGGGGGATCAAATCGGAGTAAACGATGAACGCGATGTAATCTTTTCAGAATATACAAAATCATAAGTTTTTAAATAGCAGGTTGGAAAACTTTCAAAAACCGGTTTAAGAAATCTCAAAAATTCAAAAACGTGAAAAACACGTTAACTTGTGGCATGGTGCATTACCATCTTTGGTACCCTTATCATTTTTTACTCATACCATATTGATGAAGCATGAAGCTCCCTCAATATGTATTGTCCTGAAGCTTTTCCCTTTACCGCATCTTCGGTATCGTTTTTACTTTTGTATCGGTCATCCATCAGATTTTGTATCGGTCATCCATCAGTACTGATTATCTTAGCAGCAGTTAACTGCTAAGATAATCAGTACTGATGGATGACCGATACAAAAGCTGTTTGAGAATCCAGGAGAAAAGAATCTGTACTTTTAGCACAACAAAAAATGCCAGAAACAAATTGTTTTCAAGAAAAGTGAGTGGTTTGAAGGAATTTTAAATCATGGGAGTTTTGCAAACCTAAAGACAAATGGGTTTTGACTTTGATCATCAAATAATGGTCAAATGCGAAAAAACCGAAATTCTCCTAGCAGTCATTTTTTACGAGACGCAAAGGCGCTAAACGAAATAGTCTGGGTGGTAGTAAATGCCGACAGTAACCATCCGACGAATGCCGACTGTTTCCACTTTCAAGGGTTGCTAACAAGCAAGCTAATGCGGTCTGGCTTCTTAACACGCGTCGAAAATGAACGAGTCGTAAATGGACCAGTTGTCCCAATGACATATTCGGACCCTCGATCTGCACCATTAGACCAGCGCTACTTACCACTGCGTCACTCTCATTAGAACTGCTAAATTTTGTGAAAAATCCAAAAGTCTAAAAAAAAATGAACAATTTTCAGCAACTTCGTTATGAAATCCGGTACTGCGATGCCGTGTATACGGAGGTGCATGAACGTTTTTTGAAGTCTTATTTGGAGATGGAATGGTAGACAAGCCGGGGGACCCAGTTATAAGACCAAATGCATTTTTTATACATTTTTATGCATATTGTTTTATTATTTTCTCGAACAATTCATGCCATGGAACAGAATTTCGAACAAAATTTCTTACTGGATGCGGAAATTAAAAATAACTGAACTCGGGCAGCCCTGACGATACAAACTCAATATCTGTATAATCTGAACAAAAATCCCGGGTACTGGCCGGAAATGAGCACGAATTTGAAATAATCTCGTAAAAAAGAATTCCTTAGAACAACAGTTAGCTGCGAACCAAATTTTGCTGGATTCTATTTCCACCTTTGTCCGCAATATGAATTCATTTTAATCAAAAAAAGAGAAAAAATCCTGCAACAAACCTCCATAACGACGAATGGCACAATTAACGACCAGCTTTCCGAATATATGCCAAAGCCGAAAACAGCGAACGTGCCGAGTTCCAGGAGAAAAAAGAGGCCATGAAGTAATACAGGATAAGGGATATCAAGCTTATCAACGAAAAAGTATTCCATTAGTGATATTGCAATAATCAGTAGGAACAGCACTAGCAGCAGAACTGCTTTCTGCAAAAAAAAAA